CAGTAAGAGGACTTTAGATGTATTAACTTTCAGTTCTTTCTTCTCTTCTTTCATTTTTCTTTCCTTCCCTCCCTCCCTCCTTCCTTCCTCCTTCCTCCCTCCCTCCCCTCCCCTCCTTCCTTCCTTCCTTCCTTCCTTCCTTCCTTCCTAACATCATGCAGATAGGAATTAAGACTAATGAAAAGTCAAAGGTGGAAGCAATTTTCATTAAACCTGAAACATTTATAAAATCTAAATCAGAGGATGTAAGAAAGAGACCCCAGTCATGCCAGTGGGCTGCATTCTTGAGCCAACAAGGTTAGATAAACAAACAGCAAATTGAGATTCTGTGTGATATGGTATATGATAAATGACCAAAGCAATTTAATGCATAGATATTCTTAGGCACACATACTCTCCTTTAAGTGTCTTCACCACAGTTTAATACAAATGAGAAAGCAGCAGCTGCAGGCACTTAGAACCATCACAGGAACTAACCTACATCCATATTTTAATATTTTAGAAGCAGGAATCTTCTAAATCTTCATGTAACTTGTCCTTTTGAAACCCTTTGTGTTACGGTAATCCATTCATGCAAAACATGCTTGCTTCTCGAATATGTATTATGGTTCATGACAGTTTTCTTTTCATTGAGAACTATTCTTTCTCTGAAGAGGAAACCCTTAAAAGTAACTTCTGAGGCCTTCTCTGCACAAGAAAAATGGAGGCAAAGTTACCACATTTCAATGTTATTTAGAACGGTTCTGTTCTGGAAAGGGACATCAATCTCATGAATGTGCAAATACACTTGTGTAATATACTTTATAATATATATATTTAACCAACAAAAAGTCACCTAACTTATACAATCTTTCCCATTTCCTACTCTCTAGCCAAACTGAATCCAATGAGATTAGGAAATGGGAGTTTTCTCCCAAGACTATCATCTCTATTTAGATTCTATGCTCCCTGTTGATTGCTATTGTCTGCAGCCCAGGTCATCCCAGGGCCTCGATGCTTAATTTAAGTGTGATTATTTTCCACATTGATGTGCCTTAGACAACTGCAGACTTATTGGCTAAACCAAATGATTGGGCAATTTTTAGTCAGATGGCAAGGTTTCTTTATCAGAGACTATTTCGTCAAATTTCTCTGTACAGGCCAGATGGGCTTCAGACGGTTCTAATTTCCAGGACAGTCTGTGATGAACCAACTTGAGCACTCCCTCCTTGATCCCTGTGCCAGGAAATCCGGCCTGTAAACGAATCAGGAAAGTGGTTAAAGTTTTCCAAGGATCTGACTGCATTCCAGCTCAGGGAACCCCACAAAGAGGACAGCCGGGCAGCGGTGTGTTAGAGGGCGAATGAGGAAGAAAGAAGCCCTCCGCAGCAAGCATGTCAGCTGCCAACTTTGTGCGCATGCGACTGGACTTGTGAACACACGTCCAACTTGGCTGATCTATAAAGATCCTGTTTTTACAACATGCTCCTGGAGCATCTTACTGAAATCAGAAAATGTCTTTGATTTAAAATTAGGCTTTCAAGAAGGTTTGCAAAAACATTTTCAACACTATCTACCAAAAAAAACCCAAGGTAGCGTCACACCCAGATCTTGTGCTCTTAACATTGCCTCAGAAAGGAGTCTATTCTCCTCCTTGCAGCAATGGAAGCAGCCAGAGCTGTAGCTCCGCTTTATTAGTGTTTTAAAACCCACCCTTGAAAACCAGCCTAGCTGTTTCTGTCCTTCCAGGTAGGAAGTGTGTTCAAGCAAATGGGAACAACGTTCACAGAGTTCTCAAACACATAATGCTGTAAGAGTCAGTTTTCAAGAGAATTCTTTGGGTTAGGAAGAAAGCACAGTCAGTAGAGTGTTTTCTGCATAAATATCTCAGTTCACATCCCTTAGCATCCACATTAAAGAAAAAAATGCCAGCTGTGGTGGTGACCCAAGTCTTGATAACCTAGTGCTGGGGTTGGAGACTAGGGGCTGGAGGATACCTGGTGCTCTCTGGCGGGCCAGCCTAGCTGACTTGGTGAACATCGGATGCAATGGGAGGCCTGTCTCAAAAAAGAAGATGTAGAGCTACCGAGAAAGACAGTGGACATTGACCTCTGGCTTACTCAGTCATGTGCACACATATGTGTGTGCACCTGCATACACAGACATCACACACATGAACATTGTGCACACACACACACACACACACACACACACAAAGAAAAAAAAATGTTTCTACCAGCCAGTCATCTACTTCCCCCCTCAAAAAATAAGGCAAAGGGAACTGGTAAGAAAACTGCACAGTCCACATAAAGACAGAGATAAAGTAGTTCAGCCACCAAAGCTTGGCATTTTTAAAAATGCCTTTTCAGTCTTCAACTTTTGTCTGCTTGGTTGTCTAGCAACCAAGTGCCGAACAGAAACTCCACCCAAAACAAAGTAAAACAACACACTCTCTTCCAGAGTTTATGTGTGCATTTGTATATGCACGCACGTGTGCTTGTGTGATATTTTCACTATTCAAAGACAGAAACTTGTTATTAGACAATTAAAGCTGAGAAAGTCTTGATTGTAGATGACAGGAAGACGTGAGAGCAAGTAAAAAGCAATGACAAAATGTGTAATGTGGGATGAGGGTATAGTTTCCACACACTGGGCTAAAGTAAGGTTTACACTCTTAAGCAATAAAAACAAACCATTAAGCGAGGCCCAGCACCGTCAGGAAGTATAAAACAGTTCTTGAAGCTTTGCAGTCACTATACAAAAGCTTTTCATAAACTTTGTTTCCTGATCTTCATTAAACGTTAACATCAAGTTGCCATGGGGCAATTAGCTTGCCTCCTGAAATCAATAAAAAATCAACAATTTGGAAATAGTTGTACAGTAAAATAGTTCAATAATTATTCTCTCATAGTGTTGTGGCCAAGTGGTTCCAGGGTAAATGTGGTCCAGATGAGTTCCTGAGCCTTGTGAGGGAAGCTTTGAGTAGATCGGTGCTTTACTGAGAGACCCCCTCATCTGAATGGACTCCTGGCAATGCCCTGGCTTGGGGCCCAGGACACAGGCAAACACAAGCTTTTAAGTGCTGTTAAAGTCAGCATTTGCTGTAGCACCTCAGAGAAACTTGATTCAAAGTTCAGAGACCTAAACAAAATGATAAACCCAGTGGGGGTGGGGGGAGTAGGTGCCCCACATTCAGCATTTAGACTCCAGACAGAAGCAAAGTAAATTTTCTCTCAGGTGTGTGTGTGTGTGTGTGTGTGTGTGTGTTGCACAACAAAAGACTAACAATTTATCCATTCCAACTTCTTCAACAAATAATCAAATCTGAGTTGTTTGTAAGATGTCTTCAGAAAGCTGAGTAAGGTCCACAAATGACCCTCAACTCTCAAAGGATGTTCTACCAACCAGAGAGGCACCTGTGCCAAGCAAAGACAGGAAGAGATTTCCTTGCTGACCTCCTTTGCAGAGGGAAACCTCTTTTGTTTTTTCTAGCCTGAGCCTATTCACTTAAGCAAAGTAATTCCAAGCCACTGCAGCCTAGAAAATTCCAGCATCCATTAGATCAAACCTCAAATACCAGCTTTGGAGTCAGACGCCACCCTCTAGGCTCAGCGGAGTTATACAGTGTACTGTTTTATAACTTAAGAAAACCGAGCATCATTTTAGTGTAAACTAATGCTTCAAGTGTATGGCATCTACTTGCTGCCTTCAAAGAGAAACCTTTAACTTAGAAACTTGGCACTAAGATCACACAGAATCAGCTCAGTGGACTGACTTAAGTGTTAAAGTTTTTTAAAGTACGTTTTTAAGGGCTTGCACCTGCTCCCCCATCCATAGATGTACTGACACGTATTTGACTAAACTGACTGCATGCGTGCCCAAGCAGGCAAGCAGAGCAGATTTTACAAGATAAGCAACCAAGTGTTTTCATGTCTGAGGGAGGCTAGAACACAAGATTGCCAGTCATCTTGTGGGGGAAAAGAATGCCTTTGAAACAAAGATTCAGGGCATCATTTCAGATATGGTGAGTAGATTCAGCTGCTGTCCTACACAGCTTTGTGTGTTTCTTTTCACCTAGGTGCAGCTCCATAGAGCAGGGTCCACACTTGATCCAATTTCTGTGATTATAACTGAGAGAGCATTCATTAAAGCCTTGCTAATCAAACTCTGGTCCTCTGGCTGTAGTCAGGGTTTTACCTGAGAGCTCATTAGAATTTCAGGACCTCAGGCTCCACCCAGACCTACTGAGACAGGATTCATATGGCAGAGGCAGCGTGACTCCAAGGGGGCTATATACACATCAAGGGTTCACTCTCCTCAAGGCATTGTTGGTGATTCAGGTGCACATTAAAAATCCAAGAAGTTTTATTTAGAATTTTGCCCTCCCCCACCCAAGTTAGGTAGAGGTACACTTTGAAGTTTGCATGGCAGGGAACTGGTCAGAAAATTCTGCCCTAGAGAATATCATAAGGCTGTAATTTATGTCAGCAGGGTGGAGGGAAGAGGAAAAGCAATTTACCTGTGTGGAGCAGGCGTACATGCTTACCCCTCACCCTACCCATCCCCCACAAGACATAAAACAGAAATCATGCACAGAAGTTCTGATTTCCCTGGGCTGCCAATCCACATCCCCATTTCTTGACTTTAATCATTCTTTACTGCAAAGCTCTGCTCCTTCAGCCTTAGGATTGATAGGAAGGCAGTGGCATGTAAACATCCCATAAATCAGTGTCTTAACAGTATGCCCTTCGAACAGAAATTCGCTAGGTGCAGTGTACTTCTGATTGTACAGTTGAATTTATCCATTCAATGAAAAAACAATAATAACCCGAGGGAGAACATAAAGCACTTAGGTTCTGTAAGAATGGCGTGGAGGTTCTCCCTCTGCAGGCCACTCTTCCAGATCGCTCCTCTCCTGGCCTCTGAAGGTGGAAAGTCGTGATTGGACCAGACATTAGTAAAAATGCAGAGACAAATGGATCTATAATCCACTTGCCCTTTTCCTTCACAATTTGGGGAGGTACAAAGAGATAACGGAGTAACCTAATGCTCCATTCACTTGCCGTCATGCCAGAGATGCCACAGAACCAAGCACGCACAGAACCACAGGACAGTTTGATCAATTTTGAAAGCCAAGCTCTCAAAACTAAGAAACGTCTGCATTTTTTCCCTTTAAACCAATTCTAAAGTTTATTCAAGGATCATAGAAATTCGGGATTCAAGAAACATGGTGTCATAGTGTTATGATGCTTTGAAGAATGTGAGTAAAAATGTCTGGAGGAAGGCAAGGTGAATGGAAGAATATCGCTTCTTAGGGAAGCTGCCGGGAGGGTCAGCCCTCATCTACAGTGAAAACTCTGAAACTGAAAATGCCATCATCACATATATAATAAATATAATCTTCATGGATTCATACATTAATGTCTATATACATATGCATATATATTATATAAATCAACAGAGCCCATTGGAACTGGTATTCAATCAATCTTAGCAGAGAAAATCAGAACTAGCAGAGGATAGACCGGCCACAGATGAGACTCCGGTACCATATGCTCACGCTCATCTGGGGAATTTGTAAATGGAAAAGCACGGGTCATTGTTTTACGGTGTTAAGACTGTAGTCTGTCACCAGAGCCCAAAGCACTAGAGGGCGAAGGAGGACAGGGGTGAGGAGGGTGCTGCTGCCCACGGCTGGGTCCAGTGATTTCTACCTGTGTGAAAGCAACAGCGGGGGGACAAAAGGAAGCTGAAAGGCTTTAAAAGATGCTAAGCACATTCATTCAAAAATGAGACCTTCAGAACCTCTGGGCCTCCAAAAGGTAACTGTGTCAAGGGCTTGCAGGTAATTCTTAGGAAGATTTTAATTATAACCGCATGTTCCATTACAAACACTACTTTTCCAGCCAGTTCTAAGGTAGGGGTTGGGAAAGGAGGTTAGAATGGGGCTTTACTGGTGATGTCAGGACTAGAGGGCACATACAGCTCCGGAAATTGACCTAAAACACTGCCAGTAGAATCAGTGCTGTGGCTTCCCCAGTTTAAAAACATAGCCACAGATCCCTTCCTAGGTTTTAGTTCTAACCTGGGCACCGCAGAAGCCCTGCCCCTGCTGTCAATTCACTCCCAGAACCTCCTTTGACTTTACCCAGTTTGGGCTTCCAGCCAGTTGGCAGATGTTTTTGCAGAAGCTGATCAGACTCCTCTCTCTCTCTCTCTCTCTCTCTCTCTCTCTCTCTCTCTCTCCCTCTCTCTCTCTCTTTCTCTCTCTCTCTCTCTCATTGTTTGCCACTGTGGCCTCTGTTGCATGGGATATATCATCTCTGAAACTTCCCCTTAGGTTCCCCAAGTTTTGCTTATTTTTAAAGCATTGACTATCCCTCAAATTTTCTGCTCCAAAAGAGTTCATATGAAAAATAGTCATTGGTAATTCTTTTGGTGCAAATATGACTTGCTTGCAATTTTCTAACCATCCCTTACCTTTTCTTTTCCTCTACCCCCTCCCATCTAAAATCAGTCACTTGAGAAACAAAACCACAAACACAAGGTAGTCACTGTGAACACTGTACAAATGGACCATTTTCTCTCATGGGTTAGACTTTATAGAATGAAATGCCAGAGTTTTGATATTTATTATCTGAAATATGTTTAACATTTGGAGAAATGTGTTCAAACACACAGCCCTGGAAAAAAAAGCAAGCTGATCGGTTAGAGAACAGAGTGCGGACAGAAAACATGACGTGTGTGATTTTACTGAGTGTCTGACAAACGTAGAAAATTGGGTACTTCAGAGAATAAAGAGCTCCCAGGCAGAGTAATTGCAAAGTACAAATCAGTTTCCAATTCTTGATGAGGGCCACAAGACATCAATTGTAAATATATTTAACCATGATATTAATAAAGAAAAATCTAATGTTTTATTTAGTACTTTGGCCAGATCAGTCCCCTGGAAGGGATTGCCAGTTTAGGAAAGAACAACCCACCATCGCTTTCCTATGTGTTCATAGTTTTCCTCATATTTTCACTGGTCCTAACTTATTCTTTCTGCAAGAAGGGAGAGGAAGCTGTTTCTGTCAGATCAGTAATGTCTGGTTCTTATCCAAATAGCCCCCTAATAAGAATAAACGTTCTCATGGATTGGACAACCACTCTGCCACATTCCTGAGAATTGAATAATATAATGATCTTGAAAGTCAGCAGAGTGGATTATCCACTTTTTTTCTGGACTTGAACTTGTGAACTTAACAGTAGCACTGCAAAACACACACACACACACACACACACATACACACACACACACACACACACACACAAACCCAAACAAACAAACAACAAAAAACAAAAGCAAACATGCTGAGCACTTTGCCTAAGTAACCTTCCATGTCGACCTTCTCATCTTAAATACACACAACTGAGAACAGCTACAAGTTTTGGAAAACTATGTACAAACCCGATACTTCTTTTGATTACATATAAATACAAATTAGCTATTTTTTCCTAAAAAGTGGTTATAATAGTAAATAAATACAAAATAAATCTGACCATTATACTTCATGTGCTGGAGTTGAACCCATATAAAATGTACAACTAAATACATTTTAAATCTTTAAGGAATAATTCTCTGATTAAAATATTTGGTTTCCCAACTTCTTTTCGTAGATATAAATATATTTTCAAAATAGTTGTGTTTTTTTCCATTTCATTCCATAAATAAAGTCTTCATTGGGAAATATTAAAGTGTCAGCTGGTTTCTTGGGGGTGGTAGGTTCTTTTCTTTTTTCTAAAATATATATATCTTTTTATTTTGCTGTGCTAACGACACCCACAACCCTCCACAACCATGTCCTGATAATTCTTTAACACGACCTTTTCATTTTCATCCAAGTACAGCATGGAGATAGCACTGAGCTCTGTTGGGACACAGCATGCCTTGGGGATCTTGGAGTTCACAGAGTTCACTAGCGTTTGCACTATGGCGTGGTTAGTGGAGTTCAGGTGATCGGCCAGGGGAAAAGGACATTCCCCATGGCAATAAAAGGCATGATAGCCTGGAGGGGCCACGATCCAGTCATTCCACCCCACATCGCTGAAGTCCACATACAAAGGGTGTCTCTTGCAGCTGGACTTGAGGCGCTTCCGCTGTTTGTGCTTGGCCTGCCGCTTTTCTCTCTTATGGAGTGGATGTCCTTTGCCATCATGGCCAAAAGTCACCAGCAGTGGCCTTATCTGTGACCAGCTGCGTTCATCTTGGTGCAAAGACCTGCTAATCCTCACGTGTCTCTTGGAGACACCTGGTTTCTCCTCTCCGTGGGCCACTTCCACCACAAAGCCATGGTTGCTGTGTCCCTGTGCAGTCCATCGCATCACAGCCGGGGTGACATCGAAGCTCTCCCACTGGCTTGTGTTCTGATTCACTAGCCTGGTGTCCAACAGTCTGGTCACGGGAAATTTCAAGCCGGCTGCTGCAGGCTTTATAATTTCATAAATATTAATTCGGTCCTGGAAACTATTGTTTCCCAAGGCTTCCTGTATCTGCTCCCGGAAAACCTGGAGCTCTGCAGATGTGATAAACTCCTCACTGGGGATGGAACTTAAATTAAAGAAGAACCGGCGTGTAGTTCTTCCACTCATTTCTGGTAGTTCTTCTAAGGATTCTAATTTGATAAAAGGAGAGGAGGGAAAAAAGAGAAAGAGAAAACCATTCAGTAAGAGAGTGATGGTAATTTAATTCCTTAGGAGAATTCTTAAACTTCACTGCACAGTTTGACTTAAACTATGTAAAAGTTTGCAACCAGAAAATAATAATGTCAGCACCGAAGGTAAAACTCAGAGGCAGAGTGCTTGCCTCCTACCCATGGCCCTGGGTTTTTAACTGTCAGCTTGTAAAAATTAAAAATAAGTATGTCATCTTTAAAGTAAAAATGCAGTCTCTTCTCCCATTGTTATGCGGTCATGTCCACACCTACACCCCGCAACAAGGCTTTGTACTTAGCTGTTGTGGTTTTAGTCCTCCACATGAACGTAGCTCCCAGGTAGCTATAATAATGGAGGAAATGGTGAAGCATTTCTTTGGAATTCACAGACTTTAGGGGGAAAAAAAGTCAGTACTATAGTTAGTAGAAGTCTAATGACTGAGGAGTTGAGGAAATTATTGCATTTCTTTTTTTAAAAAAAGAGCTTTAATGTCAATCTCTTAAACAGTATTTGAAAACATTGCTCTGCAATTTAGATGATTTACAAATCTCAATATACAGATTTCAGCTTCCTAATTAAAGACTCTGAAACTCAGCATCAACGATGACATTTTGCAAAGCACACCCTACCATTTGACTCAAAAGTCTAGAGACAAAGGCACTGCAGGGATCTAGTTCTTTGGAAACATATGGGTGGTACTTGGACACTGTAGTAATTAAGGCCAAAGGGTTTCAAGAGAACTCACTCCTGACTGTCTGTTCTCTCACCTCTTTATGACCTTAAGGATCAAAATTTTCATTTCAGATGATTTTGGGAGAAAAAATTGACTTTTTGTCTTCTTTGTGCTTACTTTTTAAATAGGCCAAATCAAAATGATATGCCTACCATGATAAATATGCTGAAAGATAGACAAAACCTAATATCATTCAGAAAAACAAAATAACATGATCAAAGATCTCATCCTATTACAGGATAATCTTTCTGTGTCTAGAGCCATTTATTTCAAAAGAACCATTTAAATAGAACATGCATAAAGCTTTATCTGATTTAGATTCCTGATTTTCAAGTCTAAGAACTTATGTGCTTTGCAAACAAACGGTATAATATAATGTAACACCTTGGCTTGACTGGCTGCAGCTACTGACCAGCAAAGGCATTATATTATTATGGAATTCTAATAAAAGCACAGGATTTGAGATATTTAGCTTCATTTTCTTCCTGTTTTACTATAGTCTATCATTTTTCTGTAAAACCAATTACCTGCTTCATCTAAGATCTCAACTCAAGTACTAGTAAAAGTCTACCTGCCATTTCTTCATGTCACCATCTTAAAAGAAGATGATATGCTGATAAATATTATGGTTGTGTCTCCCTAAAGACAAAGGGCTACAACTTATTCACAGAACCTCGAAGCCCCAGCAAAGGAGTTTTAGATGAGATCAGACACTCCAAGATTCTCCTTGTCTGGACCGCCCATCAATAGTAATCACTGCAAGCTCAGCAGAAGCATTTGGTTCCATGGGGAAGTGTACACTGTTATGCAGTAATGCTTTAATGTGGCAGTTCTAAGACTTTCGCCTATGTATCAGTAGGTCTAGGAAGGAGCCTGCAGTCTTACACTTCTAACAAGCTCCTAGGTCAGAGGAGTAAATTTTTAAAACACCTTTTCTAGAATAGCCAAGAAATAAGAATTCAAGTTGTTGTGGGCTAGCCAGGGACTCAAACAGAAGGGTCTTTGAAAGCTCTTCTGCTTGCACATGGAGATTATCTGGGCCAGGGTTAGGCATCCTTTACAGTCCTCGCATAGCTTCTCCCAAAGCTTCCTGTGGATGCTTTGAGGACCCATTTCCATTCTGAACTCCACTACCAGTTAATGGTACTTTAGACCAGGCACTCATTCAAGTGACCATCAGCAGAAGCAGGCCTCTTTCTAGGGGTGTCCAGAAAGAATGAAGACATATTTAATTTCTTTTACAAACCTTCTTTTCCTTGCCATTCAAAAACCCTCATTCCAGTGTTTCTGTGAAAGGTACTTTTTCAACAGAGAAGGTATAAATAAACCAGCAGCATTCTGCATCCCCTGATCACACCAAAGCCAGAAGTGCACTGACTTCCTGGGTTCCCTGACATCAATATAGTTCCATACATGCTTTTTCCTTCAAAGACAGAAAGTAAAGACAAATTACCAGGGGCCTTCCATGAATAACTATACCAATCAACAACAGTGCTCAGAAATATCACAATGGTGACAAAATCCCTGAATTCTAATCCAAAAACTAAAAGGAAAAAGTAATGATTAGAAGACTACAGGAGAGATGCACTCTCCAAGGTAAGTATGGGAGACAGGCAGACTGAAGTAACACAGAGTAATATCTGTCCAAGATAGCGGGATAGGGTGAAGCATATGAAATCACCACTATCCAACTGTAAACAAAGAAACAGCCATTTCCTGTGGTTTGGTCACACTGAAGGTAAGAAGGTCAACAAGGCAGAATGATGTAGTGGCCTTCACAAAGGAGAAGCATGTGTAATCATAGTAGGTAAAGTAAAGACCTTTCTCCAACTTTCCAACTACATTTCCATTCTTGAAAGGCCCTGCCCCATCCTTGGTAGCAAGGTCACTACTGTGGCTACTCATAGAAGTCAGCAATTCACAGAAAACCTCATCCCAGGAAGATAACTGCTCAGGGTTATGGCACACACCTCCTTTTCCTCCTTCAAAGGACACGTTTTAACCTCTTCTTGAGATGGGAAATTGAAAATCTCTTTTAAATGAATTGTAGAAAAAGAAGAGCAAGCCTGGGGATTCTGAAAATACAGAGTAGGTAATGTAGGCTTTGGGGGCTGATACAGTTGCTAATGCCCTGTAAATATCCCTTGCTGAATCAGCTGAACTTGTGAAGCAATTTCAAGACCATGACCTGTCTTCAACCTGTGTGTCAGTCTCCAAGTTCTTAAGCATATGAATGAATGATAGTTTCAAAAAAGCAGAAAAGGTGGAACTGGAGAGATGGCTCAGAGGTTAAGAGCACTGGCTTCTCCATCTGGGTTTGATTCCCAGCACCCACGTGGTGGCTAACAACTGTGTGTAACTCCAGTTCCAGGGGATCTGACACCCTCTTCTGACCTGTGGGGGCATTGCATGACATGGATGTACTTACATGCAGGCAATACACTCACACATAAAATAAAAATATAAATATTTTTTAAAAGTCACCATGTTGACCTTAGCTAATGTGCTGAATATTTATTTTTTTCTCCCTGTCAGGTCTGCAAGCTCTTTGGGTACCATGTTTATCTCCATCTTGTGAATCAAACTGTTGGGAATTCAGAGAGGTTATATAGTGTTCCCTAGTTCCAGAGCTATTAACTTGAGTCTACACCAGTGCCCAAGTTCTAGTCACTGGAAAATACTACCTAAGGTAGGAGGGGAATCAAAGCATTAAGAAACAGTCAAAATCTTTAGGAGCACATTGGCACTTAGTACAATGGTAAGCAGAGGGAGTTTTGTCCTAAGGATCAAAACCAACTACCCTGCTATGGTGCAGAAAATCAGGGAGTCAAAAGAGCAGAAGAGGCCTACTGGGACACACAGGTCTTGTTCAGAACCTGCTCTTTGTGGCTACCTGCTTACCCTAAAGTAGGCTGAGTTTTATTTAAAACGTTATCATTAAGCTTCCAGGATTTCAAAACACTTTTTGTACAAAAATATCCCTCCATTAAAACAACAACAAAGCCTGAGGCCATTCCATATCCAGAGGGCCAGAACTCTCTACCCATAACAAGATGCAAAGGGCTGAGAGCCACACACTACAGGATAGAGTATATGATGCGTCAAGGAGAAAAGACTGAAACACAGAATAAGAGTTTTGTTTTTAAGATAACAAAGGAAATGGTGGCAAATGGAAAACAGGGCCTAGCAGTCATCACTAACCTGACTCAGCCTCTGGCCCCCTAAGCTGGTGACTTCAGGAGGACAAGAGTGTCCACTACTGATTCCCTAAAGGCTGAGTGAAATAACCCAAAGACAAATCTAGAGAAGATAAAGCAGCCCAAAGATAAGGAATCAAGCAGAGAGCCAAAGGGCCCACTAGCACGTGTAACCAAGAGTATCAGCAGCAAGGAGCATCTGCAGTCTGGGCAACTATTCTCCACAGGGGTCTTTGTGACCTACTGTAGGAGCTGGTGGCGGGAAGAAA